TGTAGAGGTAATTTGCTATTTATCATACATTTTTTAAGTTCCATCAACATTAGTAAACTCTTTATTAATATATTGCAGCAATTATTTTCTAGATGTTACTGCATATAAACTACGTATTTTCCACTGGTAGTAAATATGTATTTGTGTTTTGTTTTAAAGTACTGTAAAGTAAAAAAATATATAGTTCAGGTGGGTAGCTGCGTCAGCATGCGTAAGCTGCAAAGGAACAAGTAATAGGTTTATTCCATGCTGATAAAACCTGATGAAGGCTCCATGGCCGAAACGTTGTGTTTTCTTTCTTCTTTTTTCTCAGCATGGAATAAACCTATTACTTAAATAGGTTATAAAAAAATAAAAAAATAAAATAAAAATAAAAGGTAAATAAAAAAAATGTTCACCTTGTAGTACATATTGGTATAAAGTATTTTGTTGTTATTCATAATTTAATTCATACCCTTTCTTTGAAAGAAAGCATTTGTTAAAACTTAATTGCTATAGTTTTATTTAAATGGATTTGTGTATTTAATCATTTTTTTGTATTCTGTTTTAGAAAAAAATGTAATATAGTAAACTCTAAAAAGACACATAATATATATATATATAACTTTGAATGCAGCTTATTTATAAGACTGACAAAGAATAGAATTCTCACATGAGCTGCCCTAAATTATTTACACAGAAATGTTTAATTTGATACAAGGCATTTACAGAATTTTCTCTATGGTGCTATTCATACTACAGATTGTTTCTATGATCCAATTCTTAAAAAGTACCACTAATCCTCCATATTGCTTTTTCCTGTTAGCTTTAAAATTGTTTTTCTTATCTTTCATTTGTAAAGTATCTGTAAAATGTGTTTTCACAAGATGAAGCAAGTGAAATTAATAATTTATTATTGTTCTTTAAGGAATATAAAGACACAATTGCACACAGCATCATTTTTCTTTGCTTCTAAGAAGAAGAAAACTATGACATCTTGAAATAAAAGAAAACCTGTTTTTACAATAAAATCATTACATTCTCTACTAATTAGATTTTGCTTATCCCTGTAGAACTGGTATGTGTATAATGGTAGGTCTGGCAATTTTTTAAGAGCATTTAGTCTTTTCAACAGTAACACTGAAATCAAACCCTCTTAATGAACTGATAACCTCAGTTAATCAATATCTCTCTGCAGTTAAAGGTTAAAAGAATGGCCCGGAGGATGGGGAATTAATAAGTTTGACTAGTCTAGATCTCAGACACAAAGGTCTGAAATGTGTTCACCATTTCTCCAGTAAGAAATAAATTCCTTTCTTAAGTCTCAGGGAATTATTACTTAATTTATCAAATCCTTCTTCTGCTGCTGATGTTACCGCTACTTGGATTGCTTATATGACTAATATCTTCTATTGCTAACCATAATAGTAATAATACACTCAAAAAATGCTGACACAGGTACAGCAATTTTCTCTTAATAAATTACTTTTTACATGTTATTTTTTCATAAATGGTAACAAAAAATTATGTTGACTTTTATACCAAATATCATTGAGTGCATATAAGGTTCTGTTCATATGAAATGATGACAGTTATATGTTTTTGAAAGAGAACAAAGAACAGTTGATGTTTATACTGTATATTGGCATTAATTAATATTCTTATTCATATTTGAAATATAAAATAATGAAATGAATGTGAAGTACTACTGTATATAATATCAACTAGTTAACCTAAAAAGAAATCACATTAGTTAAAAGTTTAAAAGAATACTATACAAGTATTGTTCTGATAATTGTGAAGTTAATTTTGACTGGAATCTTGAATCTATTATAGTACATATGTACAGATTTAGTATAGGGACATTACTCTATTTAAAACATTGCTGTCATTAAAAGCTTTATACTCCAATGTACTGTAACTGATCTCATTTTCCATTTGAAATCTACATGAATTAATCCAATGTCCTTTACTAGTTTAATCCACTTCCCACTTCCATTACTCTCTGTCCTTTTTACACTTTGTCCCATTTAAACATACATTAAAGTATTGGGAAATAAAAGAAACTGGAATACAGAAATATGTGCCAGTTTTGCTGTGTATGTAGTTGTGTCTTGTAGGGCCTTAGAACAGTATTCCACAAGCTATTTCTATCTTTCTGTTAATTCTACAAAATATTCTACTAATCTTCAGTTTTAGAGATCTTGATAGAAAACAGCTCAGTGCATAAGAGAGGCCTGAGTATCATAAGCATGCCTGGAAAACGTGGGTGACAGAAGTCTGTATGCATAATTCCTCAGAACAATCATTTTAAGTCTTAATTGCCCACCTTTTAGATAGCGTTCAAGGTTTCATTCTCTTTCTCTCTCCCTTTCCCCTGTTAAGAGGGTGTTGTGTCAAAGTCTATTACCTCTGCTGGACGTCTCTCTCCCTTCAGTTAAAAAAATAGAACCATCAGCAGAGGTTTGCCAGGTCGATAAAGCTTTTAGATTTGGAGATGTTTTCAGGGAGCCCATTTCCTGCGGCTAAGAGTTGTTAATGGAGCTTAAGGAATTATCTTATGACTCTCGGTTTGAGAGCATTTTATTTCCCCGCTCCTGTTCCCTTGTCGAGGCTGAATATGCTGCTGTCAAACTCGCTTAATGAAAAGTAACGCGTCGCTGATTACAGTTTTATTTGGGCTCTATGTAAAAAGCGCTGTTAATTTAGCATCCCCTCCTCTGTGTGTTTGAATTTGCCATGGATGAATGATTTAGAGTCTCTCAGTTTAAAGACAATCTCTCTCTCACACACACTCAGACTGCCCCCACCCACCCCCGTTTTTAATTCCAAGGTAGCCACTATATTTTACAGATATATTTTCTTCCAGTTTAGCAATGGCCGCTTTACACCAGTAGTGTTTAATGGCTACATTTTTTCCTAGCTTGGCATCAGTATGCCTTTTAATCGTCCTTGAAACTATTTCTCTTTTGATATATTGTAAACTTTTGATCAGTTCTGTAAAAGTCACCCTTAAATCAGGGCTAAACCTTTCATTGGGTAGACTCCCAATGTAGATATTAGTATACTGCTGTATATTTTTATGAAGCGGAGAAGAACCTGTTTTTAATCATATTAACATGTTTTATGGGTATTTTAGTTTGTTCTTAGAAGCTGTTTTGTTATCGTACAGGCTTTAACGTCTGTTTAATAGAGATATGATCTCCTGGGAATACAAGAAACCTCTTATGGTGCCCTCCAGATTGATTGTGAAGTTTATAAATTGCACTGTTTTCATAAAAATCTATCCCTGTGTCGCATATTTAGTTTTGCAAACCTTACCATGTTGGGCAGTTGTTATTTCTCAAAAAAACTTTACAGTATGAGTCATTACCCATTATACAGGATACAAATAATGCCGAATCTTAAAATTCTGTTTTTATTCAACGACACTAGCATAAACGTTATTTTGTTTCTTTCGGATTCTAGTCACAGTTTTTAGCTCAAAGTGTTAAATTTGAATTTAAGACGATTTATTCAAAAACGTTTACTTAAAAAATATTGTCATATTACTGCACTAGCAGATGATACCTTTTCAACTTACTATTCAAGACACAGTGAGAAGAAAACATTGTGCCATGCTCAAGTTATATTTTGCTTGAAAATAATTTGCTTTGTCCGAAAGATTTCACTTAGAAGATCTCAATCGCATGGCGTCTGCATTAAAATTCATTATTGCTGCGCCTCTCGCTGTAACACCTCTCCCTCGAGAATAGACTTTTTGCCATTACTGTCAAGTACCCTTGACTCTTTATTTTTGCCCTTTTATCTATTACAACTAATTCGAGTTCCTTTGCCCTTTTCAGTTAAAGACGTGGCTTCCAGTAAAGCCTTTCCCTGACGCAGATATCACAGGGTGCAGAGCCTTTAGAAATTGAGGGGTTAGTGTCAAAATGAAAATTTCACTTCAAATTATCTTGGCTGTTGCACATTTTAGCAACTCAGGCGCTTGTCTTAGCCTTTTGACAGTTGGATCAGCACGGAGGTTTAGATATTTCGATAATATTATCTAGTAGACAGAGAAAGTCAATACAATGACATGAAATATGACTGTAAACATCCCAATTATAGCTGATTAGAGAGGATAAAATAAAGTTAATCTTGTTTTGTTGATACTTTCTAAATAAGTAGTATTACTATTTTTTCAACACACAAACCAACCACAACACAATTGTCAGCCTGCATAAAAAAAGAATTCCATAAGTCTGATTTAACCTTTTTAAAATATTTCATACAGCATTCCTGGTGAAAATGATTTGAGTGTAATAATATAAACAGACCATTCACAGTATTGCTAAAGAATATCCATTTGAGCAATTGCATACCATCTGTTATACTGTATACTGTTAAAAAATAAGAATTGAGAGTTTTAATTTAAAATTAAGACTTTAATTCAAGACTTTGCTTTTTCAAGATGATATTGTTCGTGTACGTGGTACGTTATTGAGAGTGTTTCCTTGTCTCTTTGAATCGATTATGATGTGGTGTTACTATTTTAGAAGGCGTTATACAACATTTGAAATTACCTCAAGAGCTTTTTAGCAGTAGAACTCTCTTCTACTAAATCTTTGAGTAGTTCTAAACTGTCATTTAAAAATATTTTCTATCTTACCCTATTTTATTAGCAATTTGTACAGGAAACTAAGTTGTTGTTGTAAGGTAATAATAAATCTAATTATTTTTTTAATAATCGTCTTGGTTGTCTATTATATTATTTTAGAATATCTCATGGAACAGACCTAAAACTACATGTTCATGTCACACAAAGGTGAGACATTCATGGCAAATTTATCGACTCTGATGGTAAGCAAAATTAAATAAAGACAGAGTAGTTATATGGTTTACAAAATATGTGCATTAGTCATTACTCGTGCGCTTAATGAAAAATACATGTTTCCCTTTAGTTTTACTCTTAGTATTTACGTTTCAGGACCAAGGATAGTTAATTTTCATAATTCAACCAGACAACACTTGTACCTCCGAAACACACCATTTATTTCAGTGAACATACTTTGACATACTGTACCCTTCCAATTTTAAGAAAACTAGTGCAGTTGTGTATTTTTAATCTTTTTTCAGCAGTGATACTCTCGAGCGTCATTGGATAACAATGACATAACTCAGAATATTCAGGAAGATATTTTTAACATTTGCATGCTGTAAAAGAAAAGAAGAAAAATTAAAACTTGTTTTGTCTTTGTAAACGTTTTTTTTTTTAAATGTAAACTTTCATTTATACCTCTACATAGGTTTACGTGCTTTAAAACGAAAATAAATACTTTTCACACTGATCCCTTTTGGGGAGTTTCACTAGTGAAATATTATCAATATAACAATGCATAAGTACCCCTTGACTAATTAAATATAAATGTGATTCCAACATCCTTGACAGAAAAGTGTCATATTCAAATTACACATCTCGTTTTAGGTTTTAAAGAGTACATCCCAGAGTGTTTTATTATATCTCAAAGCAAAATTTGGTTAAGAGCAGAACATTTTGTTTCCCGTTTTAGGGAATGTCATATTGTCTTTGTTTGATTCTTGGAGCTGTAAAGTAGAAACGTGTCCTTTAATTACATTGTTAGCATTTCCAATTGAACGTCCCAGAGCACCTGTCTCCAATATAGAACCTTTGGTAGTCGCCCAAGAAACTGTGGTGTTGGTTAACGCTTGATTCAAAGTGCTGTGCCTAAATAAAGGGTCATGGAAAACCCCATCCACCCAGTTTCTGAGAGTGGTGACTGGTGAATCCTGTTGTCTGTCTATAACATTCACAGGAGATGAAACCGCAGGAGAGGATGGGATGACCTGTTGACATTTGAGCATGCACGATGGATACTCAGTTTGGTTTAAAGACGTGGCAGTTTGCGCCAGCGACCAGATTCTTGGCTTGCTGTCTAGTATTTGGTGGCCTTGTGGGAAGCATGCTTTTGTCTGCCTCCCGCTTGTAAGGTCGTGTTCACAATCTTCTGAAGACGTTTTCAGACAGCTTTTATTCAATTCCTGATTCTCTTCAATAGAAGCTGGTATGGAGATCTTTAAGGGTGTTTCTTTCAGGTGATCGTTCGGACCATCAGTTGTCCTCATATGGGTGTTCATGTGAAACTGATTCTTCAACTCGCATTCAGAATTCTCCGACTCAATAGCATCAAAGTCGTCTAGATCACTTAGTTGCAGGTCTTTATCCCCTCTGCTTCGGTTTTCTATATCAGAAAAAATAGTAAACAGCAAAAGTTTAATTCAGAAAAGATTAAGCTCACTGCTTTTGCGGAGAACTGCGCTCTGAAAACATACATGAAAGCTTCGAAAATGTATCCTATATATAATAAAATCCTCGCAGTTCAACATAGCCTAGTGACAATAAACACGTTCAAAAACTATAATAGATCTTTCATAGAACACTGTTTTAGCCTTACAAAAGCCACAGTAGAGGATATTAAGCTAATTATTTAAAGGTTTAGAAATATAATTTATGTATAGGCTTAGTTACAATTTGCTTCTGCTTGAAAGTTCATTAAGACATAAAATCATATAACGATGGAGGTTTTAAAATACCATTAGTTCTAATAATAATAATAATAATAATAATAATAATAATAATAATAATAACAACGTGATTATGCACAACGTGTAGGTAAGGCACTAACTGTGACGGTACATAGACGTTTACATTATCATTATCTATTTTCTATACGATGGAAACAGATGTCTCATCAAACATATTATAGAAGAAAGAAAGCTAACCATCGTCAGTCTTTTCACTTTTTATGTGTTCCTCCTGGGACAGCTCTTCTTCATCGTCATCGTATCTCTTATCGTCTGAACATTTGTTACGCGGAGGCCAGGTCATTTTATTTTCCTTCTTCAGTCTTCTCCTGGCATTAGCGAACCAGGTGGAGACTTGTGTGAGGGTCATTTTGGTGATGATGGCAAGCATGATCTTCTCTCCTTTAGTCGGGTAAGGGTTTTTCCTGTGCTCCTGAAGCCAAGCTTTCAGAGTGCTTGTTGTTTCACGAGTAGCATTTTTCCTTCTTGTTCCTCCGTCCATTGTGCCATACCTAAATCCAACAAAAAGAATGGCTTTGTAGAATTCTATTTTGGTCCTGACAATCTACTGTATATCATAAGAATAAAAGACCTTGATGATTATTTTTCAAGTAATTGTCGAGAAACGTGGTGTTTAGTTAATTCAAATAAGAACAAATGTTCTTATTTGATGTTCAAATGTTCTTAAGAGGTCCCCGAAGGATTTATGGGGGGGGTTACTGTATTGTATATTGCGTATTATTGTCACGCAGTGTAAACTGAGTTAAATTCAGTATAATGATGTAAGATATTCCAAATTACAAAAGAAAACGGTGTGAAAACTGCTTGTGTGCTACAATCCTCAGGTATAAAAGCACCATGGGCGCATCTCTTTAAGACTGCAGTCAGTAGTATTGTTTGACTTTACTCAATTACCTAATTAAAAGTACTGTAATTGTTTTTTTCACGACTCAAGGGAACAGATATTTATATAAAGTAATTTTAACCTAGCTTAATTACCTAATCAGGTATTTAAACAATTTTATTACTGGTACAACCGCTTTCTTACTGCACAAAATGTAGGCCTTGTATGAATAATTAATGAACATCAGTAAATTGTGAGGAATGGTCTCACTGAGCAAATTGGCTTAATTCATTATTTACCAAATGGGAAGGGAGTAAAATTCAGCAGGCTGCTCTGCACCTTTCAGATATATCGTTATTATTCTACATTATAGCAAATATTTAAGAAGTTAGTCATGCATTTAGCGTGTTTCAATTATTCAGAACGTTAAGAATATTATCGTGGTATTAGGTCCAAATTCTTTTAAGGTGAAATAAGGTGGAAGATTGTGGGTTTTGTCTTGGGTGGGTTCTTGCTTTATGCTTGTAAACAAAGTTCTGTACTCATATCGACAATAAAATCCCGCGCTGCATAAATGAATACACATATACATTGCTGTACATAAAAATCTTCACCAAATCATTATTATTTTTATTGTTAATGAAGACTTTTTGATGTTGTCTTCATTGATTAAAATGGACATAGAAAGTTTATTGTAAACTGTTTTTGGAACATATGCACTAAAGTGGCACAGACCTCTGTTGTATCAGATGTATTTATGCAACACTGCAATCTTAGACATGGTCTCTCTTTTGCTCTTTATATTATATACTTTACCTGTCATACTGATACTGCCCCAAGGCAGGATCATAAGGATAGTAAGCGGCAGCCTGTGTGATCCCCGCATGCGCAGAGGCTGTTCCCTCTTTTGTGTCAAATGTACTCTGAAACATGCACGAACATACAACTGGTGAGGCTGTTTGATAGTGATCTTCAAAGTCATAGACAAGACTGTATCTGCCAAAAGTATTAACGTGAATCTCAAGAGAACCAACACATCATAAATAACAAATCATAATGTACTTAACACAGCTGTTCCAGTCTTCAGAATACGTGAATAAGTACATGAACAAATACAATTAACCAGTAAAAGGGTGCATTTTACTTTTACACAATTGTCTTCAAATAATGTATCCCACATTCAGTTTATGTAATTTACATGACGTACATTCATATGTAGTTATAAAATCGTTTTTTAGACTTTTATCAACATTGTTTGTAAACTGTTTCCTATTGAGAATGTAATTTCGTTTACGTTCAGATGTGTATTTTTTAATATCACACTAACAGCGAATTATAATGCAGTACGCCATTTCAAGACAGCGAAATATAAAAAGAGAACACATTTTTTAAAATCTGCGTAGCTCCACGACCTTTTAAATAAATACTGTGTTTAATTTAATTAAACCCTTCAATATGGGAAAAATGTTTCATGAAGTTCTTCTTAAAGAGAATTGACGTTCATCCACTGAAATTTTACAATAATTCAAAACGAGCTGATCGGTTGTCACCTGTAATCCAAGCCATAATTAATTGGTCGACTTGCCCTGACAATGCAGCGGTACAATTGCCAATTAGTTCAAACTGAATAAAGCCGCTGTTGAGGCTGAAAAGATAAATCACAACCATCAAACTGCAACGCATTTGATTGAAAGGAGCACTTTGTGGAGGACAAGAGGTGTGACTATGTAAGCTCTAATTGGTGCTGATATAATAATCAATGGCTGAGAGAAGATCAGAGAAATGCTTACCAGGGAGTAGAAAGCTGACGCATCGGTGCCATAAGTGACATAGTTCCCATAGCCTTGACTGCTGGTGTAGGGGTTCCCATAGACACCAAGAGCCGCTGCAGAGTTAAGCTCATGTCTCGCAGTGGCCAGAAGCCTGCTCTCGTAAACAGGACAATAAACTGGCGTTTGGGCAGTGGCTGCCACGCCGGATTCTGCCAGAGTTCTGCTGCTAGATTCGCAGCAAGTAGTTAAGGAATTGGTGGTCATCAGGAACTGTAAGGAAAATAAACACCGTAACTTGGCAGGCTGTTTTATTCATTGTTGCAAAAATAAAAGGTTCTTATAAAATGTCAGTAAAACATGAACGCAGCATAAAATTATGTTCTAAAGCTTGAATGGATCACACTAGATATAAGTAAAACGCGTAAACTAAACGAATAACCATTATAATTTTGGAACGATCTGCCCTACGGGGCTATCTATATCCCCCAAAAGGCAAAGAACTGTGGATCACTGCCAAAAAACAGTTGTATAGCACTCCAAACCATTCTACTGTGATTTCTTATTTATACAAAACACTTTGACATTAAGATGATGTGTGCACAGATAAAGATATAAAGCACATAGACTGTTATCTCGAACCCCCACAACATCGCAAAAGGTTGTCTTTCGCAGTTTTCGAATCACCTTTATCTCTGAATGAACACAGGTATTACAAAGTCCTCTAATGTTATACATTGTTTGAAACGGGACTTCACGAATCATTTTCTTTTTCCTCAAAGTGCCGGTAAAGATATCGAAAATCAATAGTGCCTTAAATTCAACTGAAACTCCCTCTGATAATCAATAATGTGAATCTTACCTGGGGTGCAGACGAGTAAGGATATCCAAATTGTGGGTATGACATGGTAGAGAGATCCCAATATCCAGAAATAAAGAGAGACGGCTGGTCTCCACGCTATTGCAGCCTTGCTGTGTTTCACTGTACCAATTGATTGGTAAGCACAGTCTCCTAGATGCTTATAGGGCGAAGCAGAATACCATATTTAATTTGTTAAAATGCTTCTCCAACGGGTTTCAAAAATGCATCAGTTATCTTTGGTAGGTCCTAAACTCTTTTTAAGATGTAATCGCGTGAGAGTGCAATGAAACACGTTTGCCCAGATTAATCACTTTGATGTCAGAAATACATATTTTGCTTTATAAAAAAGTAGTATAAAACACGTCAGCCCAGATGCACGTTGTTTTAAACACCAGTGACTCTGACGTCAGATGAATCCCACTCAAAATGACCAGACAAACTTTAATATGCATTCCTAGGGATAAAAATCGAAGAAGTTAATATGAATAGGGGAAAAGGTTTCTAAGGTTTTTTTTTTTCTTTTTTTAGGAGGTGTGTGCGTGTGGGGGGGTGGTAGTGGTTCATGACGGACATAATTAAATTAACCAAAGCTTTGAGGAAATGCTAGGCATAACTTATCCCAATTTAAAACTACTCGACATAATTAAGCAATGATTTTTCTTCGAGTCACTGAGGGATGGAGAACACGTTTAATTAGAAATTAATTAATGATCAGCTGCCTCACTCCGCCCTATTGTAATAATTAGTCTCAAGTACAAATGAGGCAAACGCAGTAACACAGAGACCAGTAAATCTTGCTGTAAGATTTGATTAAAAGAAGACACTGACTGAGGTTAACCCAAAACCAAAAAACATTTCCACAGCAAACGTATCTAGAAACATGCGACGATGCTAAAAGCAATAAATGTAAAAGTAGAAAGCATGTATCAATCTTTAGCATTTATTTAAATGTTTAGATACGAGCCTTTATACAGCCTTAATGTTCTGAAATGCGTCCGTACATTTTAATTATTAATGTTTGGCTCTGGTTGCTACAATGATTATTGCGATGTTTTCCTGTAAAGTGTCACGTAAGCGCCCTAAACGAAAAGAACAAATCTCACATTTTGACACAATGCATTATAGTAATTTATATAGACTATCCACCAATATACGTTTTCCTCTGAAAATACAGATTTAATGTTTTCCATCACCTTTTCTATGCACAAGCACATTCACACCAAACATTTCAGATGAATACAAACTTGCATACTGTTTATTAAACTAGCTAAAGCTACGCAATCTGCCAAGCTCTCATGACAATTGAAAAAAATAAAAATAATGTGATAATTGCTATCGTTATACTTGTTAGGCATTTGCAAAGCTGAAACGATATAGGGAATGCATTATACTGTAAAACTATATAATGTGGCCTTATTTATGCTTGTTTCTGTAGTTCTTTTCTATGACATAAAACACATACTGTATTTGGTTTTATTCCCTAAAAGTGTCATTCTCCTAAAATACGATTTATTAATTACAGGGCTCTCTAAACAACCCCTTACACGACGGTAAATTCTTCTAAAAATCAGTTATTTGCATTTATGCTTTTATAATGTAAGCAGTATACTGTATCAAAGAAACCTGGAAGGCGTTTCAAACAACTTTAATTCGCGACCTACATGAAATAACTCTTTTTTCGTAGAGGTGGTGAATGTGTGTAGCTCCATGGTGTGCTGACTTGCTTAGAGAATCCCGGGTTCAGACATGTGAATAGCCCCAGGGTCACACTCAAATTAATGATGATGTTCTCCTCTTTTCCCCAGCTGGAAGACTGCCTGCAAGAAACGAATCTGCCTACACTGACAGCTCGATTGAGGGTGATTGATGACTATCTAGAGACCAGCCAACATAATATAATATCTGCTGCATAATTGCTTTCATTTACAGATGAAAGTACTTGTCCCCAAATTAAGTTAGGTTACATGAAACAAGTTGTTGGCATTTCGAAGACTCTGAAAAATAATGAATGCGCTGTAAAATTAAAATTAACCAGGCACTTCAACGCTAGAATACCCGTAAGTAACGAAAATGAACGCTATACGTGGGTCAAATGACAATTCAGGGTCCTTGCCCCATTTTAATCTTAACTCATTTACTTAATGAACTCCTAAAAGTTTTGCTAAAATATTACGGAATTAAGGGAATTGATGGTAGGGGTTATGTCATTACAGTATGTATTTAACTAGGTTATTCTTAGGTGTCTTTGGTTTCTTTATCTGACAGCGTTTACTGTAACATGCTTCCTCCCCTTAAGTAAATCAAATATAAGCTTTTTTTTTTAGTCATACAACAAACTAAACACATTCTGTATTTAGTACGATCAGTTAATCAGCTTTAGAGATAAAAGGGCAGTTGTACATACAGTAAAGACTGCTTTTTAAAATCCAGCCTTGCAATTTGCCCAGGAGATGTCCCTTGTGTTTTCTGATGTAACGGAAGATAAGTGCCAGATAGTGACACAGGGAGCACATGAGAATACTCCTCTTGTTAAGACCAGTGCACTTTAACAGGCTTATCAGGATTTGTTTTTATTACGTCTTTCATAAGCTATTGTTTAGCTTCTTAATATCATTTACAACAAGTTGATAATTTGAATTGAATTTTCAATTCAGTACAATATCATCGTTAAAGCTACAATATGCTAAGGGTATGTAAAACTAAAGTAATCCGTTACTATAATTATTTTTAAGTAAAACGGGACAAATACGTTAGACATCAATTACATTTTGCATGCAGTTCTAGTTCAATAAACACATAGAAACCAGTAAATACGTTTTACAACCCATGGTCTATAATAATAATAATAATAATAATAATAATAATAATAATAATAATAATAATAATAATAATAATAAACAATAATAATAATGTCAATGAGAACCTTTACACACCTTTAGTGGATAATATAATATTGTGTAAATGTTCTAACTGGGTTAGAAATTATCTTAAAATAAGACATCAAGAGTACTAATTACAACAGCAATTGAATTAGGCTTATTAAAAATAAGGAAGCATTAATATATCACACTTTCATGAAATTCTCATTTTTGAAAATCAGGGTTAATTTACCAACTGGATAAAATGAATCTATGAAATGGATGCCTTCTTTCAAGTATGTAGCGAATCGAGGTATTCTGTAGCAACGTGATTGCTGTAGCTTTGATAGACAGGTTGAGTAAGCGATCTTGTCTACATAGGCTTTTTGTATACATTTTCATTATCCCCCGCTTTGTTGGTGTTATTGGGTCTCCATGAAATATTTAGATGCACCAGTATTTGCTTTTAGAATAAAATGAAGATAGTAGTCTCTTGGAGTTCACTCAGTCTTGTTTTTCTTTAAAGATTAAAAGCCAACTTGTCACTTTTAAGATAAATGCTGAGGCTACTGCGCTTGCTTAGGGTTCAGGAATAAACGAGAACACTACTTGTATTTAAAACAGTTTTCTAAACAAACATAACACTTTACGGTTTTTCACAAAAATCGACACATGAATTTAATGGGAAATAAGTGAAGATAACTGCGCTTTTCATTTTTAATTACTGTAAAGTAAAGCGGTTGACAAGACCCACGCACAAACACACACACACGCCTCTGCGGGAATTCGTGGCCTGGCCACCTGTGTTCACCACGGATCCAGCAAACTACAACGTGTCGTTGCGTCACAAAACATAAATTGATCATCAATAATGCATAGCTACAGTTGGTTAAATCAACACCTCTTCATAAAAAGGTAGAGACCGACTAACTCTAAGCTTCGCATGCAGCTCTGCACACATCCCATTTTGCCTTACTAACTATAAACTGAAACTGAAGCATTAAATCTGTATGTGTAAACACAATTGCGCACGCTTTGGACATTTTTAAACAATGTGGAAAATTTAAACGACATGAATGTACTTTTTACATTAAACACAGATTCAATTTATTTAATTTATATTAAAGACGAGAATGAAGACATTTCTGAGAGATGTTATAATATGCTGCAAAAAAGAATTTCTAAGCACATAAAGTCCGTTACCTGTTAATGCAAGCTTGAGCTAAAAGTTATAAATGACATTTTCCAGGACCACTATCACTTTTACTTCTTTAATGAACCAATTCATTTTGGAGCCTGCTGGGAAGTAAAGCAAGCATTGCTGTCTACACAGTAGCCTACACTCTTTTGCTGTATTCTGAAAACGGGGCTTTAGTCCCTGGTACTCAACGCTCACTTTCAGTTAACTCCTGTGCAGCTCTGATGACGTGTCACTGAACTGTAATGATTATTCCGCTTCTTAATGACAGATACTTTACAGATCTCACGTTTTTATAGTTCAGATAAACTTCGGAACGAACTTTTCGAAAACTTGAGAAGTTGTGTATTCAACAAAATCAGTTTTGCCGTTTGTGACTTTAACATTTCGGACTGAAATGTTACTGTAAACTGTACAGTATATTCTAGAAATCCCTGGAATGTTCCTCAATAACTTTATATGAATAAACCTACCTTATCAAGAAAAGTACATTTTAAATTACATTATATAACTGCTTGTTTTTTTAAAAGGGTTATGCTTATATCACTGGAGATTTAAAACCTGTCATGCGAAACAACCTTAGGCTGAATTTATTATAATTCATAAAACTTCTGCTATACCATTGTTATTGGAGCTACCCTGTTATGATTCCAGCCAATAACTGAACAGTGGCATTATCATTTTATATTTACAGACTAACATGACTATATTCAGAGATAATTTAAGTGTAAAAACAAAAATCAAAGCTGATGTTTCACGAATTGTCAAAACGTCAACTGTCAAAACGTCTAATAAAACTGAAATAAAGACGAAAAGTCAAACTTCAGATTTAAAAAGTTTCTGCAGTATATGAAAACAGGTTTATAATGTTGGTTTATAAATACACAGCATGCTGTTTCAGTTGTAAAAACATAATTCAGTTTTAGATTAACCGAACCGACATAACCCATTAGTGATTTGCTGTAGTATTACATACTGTATTTATGCTTCCAGATATTAGTCTACCTACATGTTACTGTACTGTATGTACTCGTGATTTTTTCTTTCATTATTGAAGATATTCTGGTGTACTTAAAAAAGAAGTTAAGACATACAAAGAGCCGATACTTTCACTGTGTTGGAAAACGTGGAACTCATTTTCTTTCATTTCTGTGTTGTATAATAACGTAAACATACCATTTATCGACAATACTGTCGATAAACTCAATACTCTCATTCAACAGCACATTCCACAAATAACCTATTTACTGCTTTTAATTTGAACGTATACTTATGTTTAGGGTGATTTTAATTAATCGAAAGCTCATAAGCAAGACATCTCTGTGGATAGATGCGTTTGTGTTTGTAAAGTGACTGAGTGTGATACAGAGAGCTTCTGTTAGTATGGTAGATATGTCTTTGCTATGTAGTGCTATTTAAAGCTATCTCTGGGAGTCTGGAGTGACATTAACTAACCTTTACTGAATATAGGGCAAATCAACACTTCTGCGCTTGCAGTTGTAAGTTGTCAGTCAACACACAGCCCGGCTATTTTATCGTTCTTTATTTTACAGATGGAACAGAAGTGAATGCTCCTTCCATGAAACACCTCTAAGATTTTAGCACTGAACACGTCTGAAAGTTTTAAAGGATCATACAAAATATATTTTCCTGTACATTTTTTTAAATGCTTTGTAATGCAGAATACCTCAAACAACAATTTCTTACGATTAGTCTGTCTATACAGTAAACACGGTTTGTCGATTGTGGACATATCCATTTATACGGATGAGTTTCCAAGCAACGTGGTCTATCAAACGATGTATCATGAAATTACATTACCACAGTGGGCAAAATCCAGGTCTAGTGTATACAGTACCTATTATGTCTATGATGTTCCCCAGAAAAAAAATAAATCTAAATTTATAAGTAAAGACAAGGTAACCAATGTAAGTAATATGTTATTTTTTACTGTTTTAGAAATAGAGATTTACTAACTTATAATAGTATATACTGTACTTTTTTATAAAACCAATTGGCTTCAGCATACATCCATACATTATGTATTGCTTAGTGTTGGACTGCATTTCTGTGGTTTTCATGAATAAAGTAACTACTTAATTATAAGCATTCATATTTGAACGTATATTCTTATTATTATATTAAACTTATTATTATAATAATTTTTATATTTTTTATATTATTATAATAACTTATTATTATTTTGGGCAGAGCAGTGGCACTGTTGCTAAGGATCTGCACCTGTGGCTGGAAGGTTGCCAGTTCATATCCTGCGGCCGGCAGAGGAATCCTACTCTGTTAGGCCCCTGATCAAGGCCCTTAACCCCAACTGCTCCAGGGACACTATACAATGGCTGACCCTTTGCTCTAACCCCAAGCTTCTCTCCCTGTCTGTGTGCCTGTGTCTCATGGAGTGCAAGCTGGGGTATGCAAAAAGACAAATTCCTAATGCAAGAAATTGTACATGGCTAATAAAGCAATCTTATCTTATCTTATAATTAAATACTTGACTTGTATGTAGTTTTGTGTGTGACTGTCATAAACCTATTCAAGATTTCTTGGTGAATACCCTAACACTTCATGGTTCATGCTGCAGAAGGGAGGAGAGTACAGTATTATGCTTCATGTCTGAGGTACTTACACTTGTTGTAGGACCCCCCATAGCTCACTGCTTACAGAGGTTTTACAACCTAGGATTTTATGGAGTGCTTCCATGCTATCACTCACTTGCACCCAGTGGGACTTATGTTTCTCAAGTGCATTCCATTTTCCTAGTTGAGGTTTATAACTGACTCCCTTTCTGTCTTCACAGCACCAGGATCCTTCTCTCCTGTTCTCTCTTGGTTACTATGGTTGTAAGGAAGGAAAGCTCCTACTGCCTTGTCTTTGAGGACTTTCTCCAGGATGCTCCCAGGGCTTTTAAAACTCTTTGCAACCTTGCCTTGTAAAGGTATTTTCTCCTGGAGATGTTTCTTTATTGTCTTGAAGCTTTCATTGCCAATGCCTTTCTAACTAGCACTTAGTTAATGCTAACTCCAGGCTGGAACCAAATTAAATAAAGAACAGACTATTATATGTCTCTGGATTGGTCATCATTCATAGAAAGAAGAGTACAACCCATCTGGGACTAATTACAGTATATTACATATGCTCCAGTGTTTTATATTAAAAATAATAAATAAAGTATGATTCTATGTTGTTTTAATAACCTTTAAGTACAACATTTGGTTATACAGGAGGTTATATATAGATTGACAAAGTGTGACACAGCAGGGTCATAATGGAATCTTTGAAATAGGCAGGCCTCAAATTAACATAAAAGTGCAGCTACCTGTATGAGGTAAAACCTAAGAACTTTTTATTTACTGTGCCAGAAATAAAACCAAACAGCTACAAACCAAAACAAAAGAAAAACGCTCGTCTCAAAACTAAGTCTCTCGCTCTCTGAAACTCTTCACAAACTCCAGTCTCTCTCTTATGAGTTATTCATATGATCCTTAATTCCTTGGTCAGTTGATTCCCTCAATTTTGCCTTTGGTGAATGTGCATTACATAGCTCTGCCCTCTGTCACCAGACAGGAAGCAGATCAACCCTGGAAGCCTCTGCTTCCTCATTTTTATACTGTCACCTGACCATTTATCATCCAACAACTGGTCAGGTGACCATGGGCAGCAGCTCATTTGCCACAGCATTTTTGGGAATGTAGTGGCCATCTTGCCTGAACCTACTACTGTATGCCTTCACAAAAGGTTATGTGAAATAATCAAATGCCTTAGTAACCTCTCATTAAATTACTATGCACTGCATCCATCAGTTGATTATTACCATCTTGTAGGTAATATACTGTAGGTGTTGCACCTTTACTTTCTTTCGACTTACCACAACAGTTAAAAAATGTGCCATTTTAATTTAAAGAGGGACTTCAGTAATTTATGGTAGTGTGCTTTTAAAATCAGTTCAGTTCTACTTTTTATGTGACATAATATATTTTGCATTATTCCACCTACAATAGTTTGGTTTGGTCAAACATACATAATGAGTCCAATCCTGAGAAAGATACAAACTGATACAGTACATCAATACCTAGGTCAGGTTTCTCGCATTCTCATAGATAAGATCTAGGAAAGTTAAAATTACTTGTATTTATATTAAATGTTCATTCCATCCATCCATTTTCTAACTGCTGTATCCAATACAGGGTTGGGGGAGTCGGCGTCTTTCCTGGCAAGCAATGGCGGTAATGCAGATACACAATTGCAAGGACACCAGTCACAGAGAATACACAGAGACAAATACACTCACACCAGGGACAGGAGCCAATTAACTTACCAGTGTATCTCTGGACTTTGGGAGGATAATGGAACAACTGGAGTAAGCCCACACAAACAATGGAAGAAAATACAGATTCCACACCCATCAGTTCCAGAATTAAACCCATTTAAAGTGCCATGGAATTTAAAGACCAAGTAGTCAAGACCTTGGTACTCTGAATATCTCCACTGAATGATTGCACCTCCAACACCAACAGCACAAGTTGTGCATTTGGAATTTACTGTTGGTAAAGTAATTTGCAATTAAATCAAAGAAAAGTGCATTATACAACTAAACAATTAGTTGTTTGAATGATAAAGACCATTTAATGTATAATTTCCTTTGATAATAACATAGCATTTCAATCTTTTATCACATGCATATGTACACAATTGGCCTTATGATCAAAATTCACCTCAATTGATTATTGTGGGAATTGAACCATCTAAGTATATTAAATGGTCTATAAAGGTCAAAGTATGTAAGCATCTGCCATGTAGGAATATCCTTGGAACACAGGATTTGAGCACCTTAGTTACCTGTGCAGTGGAGCAGGCCACAAACGCAATTTTAACATTTGCATACCAAGAAAATATATATTTCAAATTAGACAAGGAAGGAAATATTTAATTTTTAGATATGTTTACTATGAAATATCTTCTTGGCTATAACATACTGTACTTTGCTGTTATCACTGTTAAATTATTGTGACACATACAGTGTGTGGGTCTTTAAAAATTGAATAATCTCAAAAGAACCAAATGATCCACATTAGAATAGCCTCCTTCAATTTGCATTATGTTTTTAAATGGAATAAGTTCTCTTGAACTTCATGCAGGTCACTAATCAGTTAATTTTGGAAGTACGGTCCAACAGATCTTGTCAACTTAATAGTCTTCTCCAGGAGACTATATTACTAATGATCAATAGAGGAAAAAGTACAGTATATGGTTAAGTTAAAGTATCTGACACAAATCTCAACAGCAGTTAATGATGCTAGCCTACTGTGTAATGGTCTTTTGCAGAATTGTGGTCAACAACCCCAAAAATGTTCTGTTTTTTAAATATAATTCAGTGCCATGATATCACAAGGACATTCAGGATCATGTAGAATGTCAGTATGATGTGTTCAAAATGATTTTCTTTTTCTTACCAGATGGATTTAAAGGTCTTTTAAATATGAAAAAGCTTAATTATTTATCAAAATGTGAACAATGCATGACATGGGGAGGCAAATCTAAATGTATTTCATAAAAATGCAGAATACACCTGCATACAGTAGTTATCTGACTTTTCCATTAGGAATACCATAGATAAGCATGGAACATACAAGCTATTCTTTCATAAGCAAATGGAAGTGCATATTTTGTCATAAAGCAATAACATTTTAAATACCAAAAAGAATGAGCATTTTTAAGGTAGACTTTCACTCAATATTTCTCTAGTACAAGCGCATTACATTTACAGTCCCACTGTGTTATAAGTTGTTCTTATGTTTTTCTTTTCTACTTTGTTCTTGGAATGTAAGATGGGGTTCTGAATCTCTGAAATATTTACAAAAAATATGATCACTTTAATAAACAATGCATCAGAGTGTGATGTACTGTACTCTGTTGTGAAATAAATCTCAAATTCTGGGGCCCTGGGTTCAATTCTGCACATAGGGTGCTATCTGTGTGGAGTTTTTTATGTTCCTTCTGTGTTGGGAGGAGCAGGTGCTCTTGTTTTTTCCCACATCCAAAAACATTCTGGTAGGTTAACTGGTTTATGGGAAGAATGGCCCTAGATGTAAATGTGTGGAGGTCTGTGTTTGTGTCTCTGTGTACGCCCTGTGATGGTCTGGTGTCCCATCCAGGGTGTGTCCTGTGTTGTGCCTTTATCCTCTGGTTCATCACTACCTTCTTGCAACTAAGCAGTTACTGAAAATGGAGGGACGCAATGAGAAATAAGGAACTGGGGTTTACTAGTTTAGTTTGAAAAAAATTGAATTAACCATTCTAACATTAATTGATTTTGATAACCGTTATTGTGGAAAATAAGTATATAATATTAGATGGCACTTAATTTAATACTTTGCTGGGCAAATTGAAATCCCTGTTGGACAGTATTGACTTTCTGAATAACTGAATGTTGCATAAAGCATAATTGGATAGACATATTTTTATATGCTTCTTTGGTCATGTGTTTTTTTTACTGAGAGGCATTAAAAAATACAACATATAGATATTGGAAACAATAACATTTTGTGCTTTTGATTCCTTTCATTGAATTGTATACATTTTAGAATATAATTTAACATACAAATTGAATTTATATATACAGTACAGTATATATGAATCATATTTATTAGAGAGTGTTTACTTTTAAGTTACATAATGTGAAAATTGACTTAAGCTAACCAGATTTGGTGGAGCACTATTGATAAAAAACTGCTCATTGCACTGCAAATGAAATATTCTTTGACGATTAAAGCACTCCCGATCACAAAGATAAATGCCTTTCCTACAATTTTACTTACACTTTGCCATTGAAGTCTTGCACAGATTTCCTCAAAATAAATTAAATTTAGGATGAATGTATGACAGAACAAGAATTGTTAATACATGGAATAGTTCATACAACCACACTGTTCAGGACAGCACACTAGGGACCTTTAAGAAGAGATTGGACAAGGTGTTGACATTCGATATCTTGTATGAACACAAATAGGCTTTAAAGGCCTGCTGTTCTTTATTCCTCTCATGTTCTTAAAACATAAGAAACTGGCACTGTGTTTCATTCAAATTGGGAACAATTATCTGCAGGAAATTATTTTTTTATTATCAATATATTTTGAGTAATTAAAAGTAAGTGTCATGCTCTTTTAACAGTTTCCTGAGCTTTGGATTACTGAATGAAATTCGTAGTAGTCATAGATTTGCTATTTTTACAGTTCATTACACAAGCTTTCATTACTAGAATTTTGTTATTATATTAATATTATATACTGTATATTATTACTTATTGTAGTTCTTGTAACTTTCACTTCATTTCAGAACTTTCAAATCTTTCTTAGTAATCTTTGTGAAGAAATAATGATACGGAATTTTATTCTTAATTGTTATGCGAATGAATGTATTTAATTTTAATTCCCGTGGTTGTACATTTGTGTACTATATGTGACAAGAGCCGGTCCAGGCTCCCGTGAAGCGTAGTTCTGGACCCTGTGCAGACGGTATAATCCGGAAGTGATTGGAGTAGGACAACAGGGAGGAGACGACGAGGATCAGGGCAGGTTGACAAACAGGGGGGCGTGACGACAGTTAACTGGTGCTCGGGGGGCGTGGCCATGGCAAACAAGTCCAAGGGAGTCTAGGGGGAAATCTGGGGTGAAGTCCAAGGTCCTAATCCGAGTGATCCATCTGCGACGAAAACAAGATAATGATAAAAACTGGAAAGGGATCTGGTATAGGGACAGGGAAAAGAACAGGATGGCGAAGCAAGGCGCTCTGAGCCCTGCACTCAGCTGGGTCAGGACGCTGGTAGGAGGCCTATGCCCTCAAGCTGCAGATGTAGGGCGACTTGATGGTAGGTGGGCCTCCTAGCAAAATGTGAAAGAGCCGGAGCGTCCTTAAGAGGAGGGATTACAATCGTGACACTATACAGTATATCTAACATAAAGTTCATGTAAATGTATTTAAACAGAAATTAACTAGAAATTTAAACAATGTAATAAGTTGAATATCTTTTTACTGCTATCAAAAATAAAATAAAATCCAACTTTTCTATGCAATAGGATTTTATGAAAAAAATAAAAAGCACTTTACATTAATTATCAATTATCTAATTGTATATGAAACAACACATCATTTCCTATAGAATTAGTATTGTATTGTGTTTTCTCAACCATTACATACAATGTACAATTTGTGCTAAGCAAAAACAAAGTGGATATAAATCATCTACTCTGAGAAACTTCAATTGACTTTGAGGTGCCAAAGGTATTTATTGTGTTTACTAACTATGGCTGAAAAGAATACATAAAATAAATTTTACATTGCTGTGCTGCATTACTTCTTCTTGATTTAGATTTTTTTAAAGAAGCTTTAATATTGTTAAATAATAGTTGCCGCAGAGGAAATGTTGGTCCCAGAGACATTTTTAACCCAGATAGCACACAAAATAAGGTTGATGCTAGTATTTGGTTGGAAAGGTTGTCAAACAGCAGGAGGACCTAATGTCTGACCAGTGTTCTGCTGACTAAGCTGGCCATCATCTTTGAGAAAGCCTGTTCCATTTCTTCACTCTTAACAAGAGAAAGTAGCTGTCTAAGAACAATATATGAGCAACAGCAAAATAAATGTTAAATATTTTGTCAAAGGGTGTCATTTACTAGCATGTATAAAATAAGGAAGAACAAACATTTCAAGGCTGAGGAACAATATGGGAAAAGTAGCCTTGTGCAACATTGTAGAAAATTACTGTTTTTGGTTAGTTAGCAATGACATGTTCTTGCGTTTCTATTAAGGAACAATTTGTAGGAGAAACATGGAGATGCAGTAAAAGGAGACTGTACTGTACATGTTATCAGACATCAATATACTAACAGAATCATTCAGTTATAAAACTATGTTTGTCACATTTTAGATTATGGTATATCTTCTGTATAAATAGAAAATGTCCTTTATAAATTTACAGATTTTTTTCTTCTTTCCCAGCATACAGTAGCGATTCTGAAAATATTCCAGGAAATACGAAACATGTTCAAGTTGTCATTAAGTTAAGATTTAAATTACGCTGTGTGCTAAAATGAAACACACATCCTTCAGAGTTATTGTTCGGATAAAAACAGAAATTTAATAGCGAAGCAATTCTAACAGCATGCATATAACTAATCCTTCTATTTAAAAAATAACATAAATGAGTAATTGAGATCTTTTGGGGGCTATTAACTTTTGACCTGAAATTTAAAATGCATAATTGTTTTCCTGATAAAGTGAAAAGTTAACAAAAAATTGCGAAGGAGCATTACTGTATGCACTTTGTTACATACTGTACAGTACTGTGCAAAGTACTGCGATTGATGGGTGTCTAGTCTAGGTGTACCCTACCTTGCACCTACTTCTTGCTAGGATAGGCTCTGGCTCCCCTACAACCCTGAATTGGATTAAGCGGTTAGAAAATGGATAGATGGATGGATGGATTGATGGATGTATATTATGCAGTGTGAAATGCTGCATTTACATTCCCATATATTTATTTGTTACCTCATATTTACTGAAGAAATATTTTCAGAAAAATATATGTAATTATTGCTAAATATAACTACATCGAATAGTTCATGGTTATAGTAATAATAATGCTTTTATCTTAAATACATACTTGGTTACCAACTTAACATTTCTATCTAGTTCTAATATATCTTTTGTTTTAGCTAAAAGCTTCATCAGACATAACTGTATTTTGAAGAAAAATAACTGTTATTTAGCTCTAAAGCACATTTTTTGCACTGCTGCTTCTAAGAGGCTTAACATGTTGTCTTCACTTTACCTGCATAATTTATAAAAGAAGACAATGCATTCTCACTACACATTGTTAACTAGCTTCAGGTGTTCTTTGGCATATGGTCAGGAGTAGAAACTCCACTAGATACTAACAAAAAATAATAGATTTTATGCAGATACCATGTTTACAATGTTGTTGGACTCTAGTCCCAGGTTTCAATATTTCCTTTAAAAACAACATTAACCTAGGGATACTGGTTATTATTTTATTTAGCATTTAGTTATTTTAAATAGAGTACATTAAATTGTAAAATACTGTATGAGAACAAACAGAAAAAAAAATGTTTGTTATAATAATCCAAAATGAGTTACTTCTTACTGGATGTAGCTGAATAATAATAGCAGTAATGGTAGTAGTGGAGCCTAAATAGATACTACTGTGGTTGTAAAAATAAATGTCATCAAGAGTGAATTTTTAGTCACTGCACTGCTTGGTCTACATCTTTTATGTAACACTGTCAATATTAACTGCAACAGCACTGAAGACTTTGTTTCTTCAAACTTGGGCTTACTTTTCTCATATGTTTTTCAGTATTCTTTGGAAATAAACTATATAAACAAGACAGACCTCAGTAAGGTATTGTTAATGACATTATGGTTAGTTCACATTACCTATCTCTGAAATCATGTATGTGATAAATGTTTCTGCCGGGACTGTAAACTGGCCTCACACCTAATTTGTCACCCCATTTATACATCTTCAAGAAAAGTTACAAATGAGGGAAAGACATTCAGCACATACACCATATACAGTAGGATAATTTATAAACCATACAGGATAAAAGAAAACTGACAAATAAATAACAAAAACAAACTTTTCCTTAAAGTAGGACATCTCATTTGCAGTGAATAGAACATTTAAAAAGTCAAAGATTTGGTCTAGTGGTGTGAGTGGCATACTACTTTATTCAGTGACCTCATAGGAAAGACATGGAAGTTTCTTTGTGGAAAAGTCATGTCATGCTCATAACTGCCAAAGATATTCCAATTTGACTTGCCTGTTTTCTATGCTGGGGAAATAAAAAAAATGTGCAAAAAGCCACCACATGTTAAATAGATATTAAAATTGTATAGTTTTAATACATTTAGGTAAAAATATTCAAATGCATTCTTGTTTTTTTTTCTGTGATTGAAGGAACTTGTGATTGGATTTCCACATGCTGCCTCCATCTGCTGTGACTATGCTATCCACTTTGATATTAACATGGCTCTTTCATTAGAAAGTAACCCATTTACTGGTTTATATATAAAATAAAATGCAGAATGAAACAATAAAATGCATTCCAGAAAGGCAAAACCTATTTCTATTGTGTTCAGTAGGTACATTATGAATAAATAATTAGTTAAGTGCCTAGACTACATCAGCCAACTAATCACTACCTACTACACACATTATATACAGTATATATTTTTTAAAACTTAAAAAGCACAGAAAATAAAACTGTCAGGCCTTTTAGTGTTTATGCATGCGTGCTTCTTTCAGAATAAACATTAGAAAAAAAAGG